CCCAATATCCCTCGTTATTTCTAGTTTTGTAGTCTGAGCTGTGCTGAAAGCTTAACACTACAATTGCTTGAAGGTCACTAAAATGTGTGTGTTCTACACATCCAACAGTTATTGGTATCTTTGAAAGTGCAAGTCCTTTGGACTTATCCATCCTCTGATTTCCTGTATGCCTTGAGAACTCTGCCAGCAAGATTCTTCCACTTTGGTGTACCAGGCTCCACCCCTATCTATAGTCAGTCATGCAAGATAATCTCATGGTATTCTATACCATAAAAAGAAAGATTCCCATGCTAAAGAAGACTTTAGGTGATTCAACCTGACAGCATCCACCCAAAACAGAATTATTTATTTAGGAGATGTAAAGAATGATGGGAAGCTGATATAAATAAATGGTTGTAATTTTGCTAAATCTAAAATATATTTGATGATTTAAAAAAACATAGCTGGACTGAAGGATAGATTTCTATATTTGCTTGCAGTTTTGCTTTCAGCTTTCTTATCGTCCTCCATGGATTATAAGGAATAGTAGCATAAAGAGAAAAGCACCGTGCGTCTGCATGGTCTAGTAATAACTTTAGTCCAGTAAACTGTGTAAAAGTTGCATTCACAGTTGAAAATTATGTGTGTAGGCTTAACTGACTGGAAGTTCTATTTGATCTAAATAAAAATAGTGTGCTGTTCTTTTACATGCATAGAAACAAGTGCCAAGTGATCCAATAAATAATCAGTAAAAAGTGCAATAAACAATCAATAAATACATATAAATTCATATATATACATGTACACAAAAATATGAACAGATAAAAAAAAAAGTCCCAATTTATAGTGAAGAAAGTGCTCTGTGCTGCAAAATGTCATATAAGGTGTGTCAGTGCTCAGGTGCTCTTTAAAGGAAACAAGCAAGCCTCTTATGGAACGGACACAATCTCAACTATAGACATCTAATGAGCATGTGTGCCATGGCCCCCAGGATGGCGCTCTCACAGTTAAACCTTCTCCAGAAAACACTGCCTGCATCCACCACACTGATATGTGGTCCCACCGAAAATCTCATAATGGTATCAAATGCCGCTCATCATAAGAACATGGATTGAACAAGAAAAACCTCATGCTGCAGTATATAAAATCAACTGATTTATTAAAAAGTATTGCACTTACAAACAGGTGAGTAAGATAGGCAGATAACTCAATATATTTGTCTGGCCGCAGTCTCAGTATGCACGCCGGTGCATCATGATGGCACACAAGAACTCTGCCCAATGCATTTCCCCAAAAATGGCATCCTCTGGAATTGGAGAATCTGCAGCCTGTTGGATGTATTGAATTATCTGTCTATCTTTCTCACCTGTTTGTAAGTGCAATACTTTTTAATAAATCAGTCATGGTATGCTTTACCAACAGGCATGACAGAATAAAAGTTGCCTATACACTTCTATAGTGTAGATGGAGGAATCTCCCTAACAGCTATTGCATTCTGACAGGTGCCACCTGCTTTTGTCAGAATACCTGAACAGTGCTTGCATCTGACTGGATGCAGATGCTATTCAGTGAGCAATTTTCCAGATAGTTACTTTGACAAAAATTGATTCTGTATATACAGTATATATATATATATATATATATATATATATAATATATATATATGTATCATCAAGTAATTTAAACTCCTGGGATATTTATCTGGTCAATTAAGTAGCAGATGGGGCTGTCAATCAGTTTCAGCTGCTTTGGTGTTACTGAAATTAACAACAGACGCACTAGATGTGCAACAATGAGACAGCCCCTAAAACAGGGATGGTTTAACAGGTGGAGACCACTGAATTTGTTTCCCTATTCATCTTTCTGACTGTTTTTCACTAATTTTGCATTTGGCTAGGGTCAGTGTCACTACTGGTAGCTTGAGGTGATACCTGGACCCTACAGAAGTTGCACAGGCAGTCCAACTCCTCCAGGATGACAAATCAATACATGCCATTGCCAGAAGGTTTGCTGTGCCTCCCAGCACAGTCTCAAGAGCATGGAGGAGATTCCAGGAGACAGGCAGTTAGTCTAGTAGATCTGGACAGGGCAGTAGAAGGTCCTTAACCCATCAGCAGAACCGGTATCTACTCCTTTGTGCAAGGAGGAACAGGATGAGCACTGCCAGAGCCTTACAAAATGACCTCCAGCAGGCCACTGGTGTGAATGTCTTTAAACAAACAGTCATAAACAGACTTCATGAGGGTGGCCTGAGGGACTAATGTCCTCTAGTGGGCCCTATGCTCACTTCCTGGCACCATAGAGCTTGCTTTGCCATTAAACACCAGAACTGGCAGGTCCACCGCTGACACCCTGTGCTTTTCACAGATGAGAGCAGGTTCACCCTGGTCACATGTAACAGACGTGAAAGGGTCTGGAGAAGTCATGGAGAATGTTATGCTGCCTGTAACATCGTTCAGCATGACCATTTTGATGGTGGGTCAGTGATGGTCTGGGGAGGCATATCCATGGAGGGACGCACAAACCTCTAAAGGCTAGACAATGGCACCCTGACTGCCATTGGGTGTCGGGATGAAATCCTTGGACCCATTGTCAGACCCTACACTAGTGCAGTGGGTCCTGTGGTCCTCCTGGTGCATGACAATGCCCAGCCTCATGTGGCGAGAGTGTGCAGGCAGTTTGTGGCGGTTGAAGGAATTGATACCATTGAATGGCCCCCACGTTCGCCTGACCTAAATCCAACAGAACACTTCTGGGATATCATGTTTCGGTCCATCCGACATGGAACACCATCTGTTGTCACATTAAGAGCATGCCCCGACATTGTCAGGCATGCATACAAGCACGTGGGAGCCATACAAACTACTGGGTACCATTTTGAGTTGCTGCAATGAATTTTCAGCAAAATGGACTAGCCTGCTGCATTATCTTTTCCACTTTATTTTCAGGGTATCTTTGAATTCAGTCCTTTGTAGGTGGATAATTTTCATTTCCATCAAATGATGGGGCATTCTTACGTTCTGAACACATTACCCAGTCCATATCAGTATAGATATCCAGTATAATATTATTTTTCCCCATTTCCCCATTGAGATCTGATGTGTTTTCAAAGTGTTTCTTTAAGCTTTTTGAGATATATACTGTATATATATATATATATATATATATATATGTAGAGAGAGAGAGAGAGAGAGAGAGTGAGGAACAGAAGTATTTGAACACCCTGCGATTTTGCAAGTTCTCCCACTTAGAAATCATGGAGGGTTCTGAAATTCACATTTTAGGTGCATTCCCACTCTGAGAGAAAGAATTAAAAAAAAATTCAGGAGATCACATTGTATGATTTTTAAGGAATTTATTTGTCTTGCACTGCTGAACGTAAGTATTTGAACACCTAAGAAACAGCAAGAATTCTGGCTCTCAAAGACCTGTTACTGTGCCTTTAAAAAGTCCACCTCTACTCTACTCATTAATCTAACTTAGTGACACCTGTCTGAGCTCTTTAAAGACACCTGTCAACCCCGCGCAGTCAGTCAGACGCCAACTACTACCATGGGCAAGAGCTGTCAAAAGACACACCAGAGACATAATTGTGGACCTACACAAGGCTGGAAAGGGATACGGGGGCAATTGCCAAGCAGCTTGGTGAAAATAGATCAACTGTTGGAGTAATTTTTAGAAAATGGAAGAGGCTAAAGACGACTGTCAGTCTCCCTCGGACTGGGGCTCCATGCAAGATCTCATCTCGTGGAGTATCACTGATGATAAGAAAGGTGAGGAATCAGCCCAGAACTACAAGGGAGGAGCTGGTCAATGACATGAAGAGAGCTGGGACCACAGTTTCAAAGGTCACTGTCGGTAGAACACTACGCCGTCATGGTTTCAAATCATGCATTGCACGGAAGGTTCCCCTGCTCAAGTCATCACATGTCCAGGCCCATCTGAAGTTTGCCAATGACCATCTGGATGATCCAGAGGAGGCATGGGAGAAAGTCATGTGGTCAAATGAGACCAAAGTAGAACTTTTTGGTCTAAACTTCACTCGTCGTGTTTGGAGGAAAAAGAAGGATGAGTTGCATCCCAAGAACACCATCCCTACTGTGAAGCATGGGGGTGGTAACATCATGCTTTGGGGGTGCTTTTCTGCGAAGGGGACAGGACGACTGCACTGTATTAAGGAGAGGATGAATGGGGCCATTTATTGTGAGATTTTGAGCAACAACGTCCTTCCCTCAGTCAGAGCATTGAAGATGGGTCATGGCTGGGTCTTCCAACATGACAACGACCCGAAGCACACAGCCAGGATAACCAAGGAGTGGCTCCGTAAGTAGCATATCAAGGTTCTGGAGTGGCCTAGCCAGTCTCCAGACCTAAATCCAATAGAACATTTTTTGAGGGAGCTGAAACTCTGTGTTGTTCAGCGACAGCCCCAAAACCTGACAGATCTAGAGGAGATCTGTGTGGAGGAGTGGGCCAAAATCCCTGTTTCAAGAACTACAGGAAATGTTTGACCTCTGTAATTGCCAACAAAGGCTTCTGTACCAAATATTAACACTATTTGAAGTTGAAACTGAAAATTTTAAAGGACCATACAGGCCCTCTAATAATCCCAGATAGACAAGTTCTGCTTTACAATTCAAGTGTTACCAGATTGTTGGGCTTAAATCTGTACATAGGTGGCACTACTGATGGTCATAAAGCACTGTATGTCATGGGTAGACATGTGCACGCCGGCAATGTTCATTTAATTTCGGATGCATTTGTTCATTGAAGAATTTTGTTTAACCTCCCTGGCGGTATGATTCCTTCCTATTTTTTGTGCTGAAAGCGGTACCATTTTTTCGCATGGAAATAGTTTTTTATTGTAGGCTGTAATTTTTAGGAAAATTTCCCCACAAATCATTATCACTCAATTCTGTAAGTGGTTCTGATTTACTATCGCTGTTCTCTAGCCGGTCTAAAACCGCTTTTGACGTAAAGGGACGCTTTTTGGACGCCATGGACTTTTCTAAGTTTCCAGGCAGAAAGAACAGACAAAATGCAGGCAGGGCACAGGACAAAGCACTAGGGACAATATGTATGTGAAATGGGATGAAACAGCAATGTTTTACTATTTAAGATTGAAAAAAAAAAAAAAAAGACATTTTTTAAATTTTTTAAATTTCCCGCCGCCGGCGGCGCCCGTACGTCCCGACGTCACGGGGACCGGAACACAGAAGCCGGATGCCGGCATTGGCCGGAGGAGATGGCCGGGGACGCTGCAGGGGACACATCGTGGGAACGAAGGACAAGGTAAGTGCTGCAGGGACCCCCAGAGCAGCGCCGCATGGTAAGCCCGAGCGTAGCTCGGGGTTACCACTTGTGGTATAGAAATTCTACCCCGAGCTACACTCGGGAAAACCGCCAGGGAGGTTAATTGTATTTGATATGTTGAACTGATTCCTTTTCGTTATATTTGGCATTTGTTTTGTATATTCGTTGCTCGAGGTGGATTTGATAAATTCTGCAGTTTCTCAGAAGATTAATAATTATTTCAGGTGGAGTTGATGTTCATATATCATAACTGTTTAGATGGATGCTATATCTTCGAGTGCAGCAGAATAAATAACCCAAATTTGGTATCCTCCAATTTCTCAAACTTAAGGATTGCATTACACTGTGGTACTGACTGACTGACAATTACAAATTCAATTTAAATCACAAATTTACTTGAATCCAAATTATCAAACAAATTTGAAAATTTAATTCATTTCCCCATGGGCCCGGAGTACTTTTGCATCATGTTACATCATCCAAATGAAATGAATGCAACAAATGCATTTGTTAACTTCATTACAACTTTTTTGGATTCCTTTATATTTGTTACTATGTTCATTCGGAGATTCGTATATACCCGAATCTTCAAAAATCCAATTTTTGGATGAAAATCGATTTGTTAGGAAATTAAACACGTATGTTTAGTTATGGGTTTTGGATGATGGAGGATAGATATCGCCTTACTGGGGTCACAGACCATCCTCAGTACCATTAATAAAATTGCCATGTAAGATTCTATTTTCATATTCAACCTCACAAAGTCTCCTTTGTAACATAGAAGATAATTTAAAGCCAAATACATCGATTAACTCTAGTTAATGATTCATTTACTAAACTACAAAACTGCCAAGCCAGTGTCAGCCTTCTCCACTGCCAGGGAACAATACGAACTGGGAACTGGAGGCTGTAAGTCAGGTAGTCGATATAAGAAATCATTTCATGCTCTCTTGCTTGTCTTCAAGATTTGCATTCAATGCAGAATGGTCAGTGATGGCAAACATTCTGACAGAGAGCAGATGTGCAGACAGACTGAGCTTTGGATCCTGCTTTCCCAGGGAAAATGTGCTTGCTACAAATAATGTGAGCAGAAATCACTTAGTGTTTCCTTATAAATCTTGTGAAGCCGCTGGATGATGTCTATTGAGTGCTTTGAGTTTTAATACCACAGTAAAGCTCTTCATACTGTTTAGGTGTAATTCTATGAAGTGTTTAAAGAATCCTCACCTTTAAAAAATAATGGAGGACTAAAGATCTTACCACGCATAATGACAGGAGATCAGCTCTAAACATCTCCAGCTTGGCCGTTCCTCCAATATTTGAGCACTGCCAATCTGCTCTCACTACGTTAGTAGCCAGATTATAGGGAGAAAACCATAACACCATATGGACAGTGTTCTTATGCTGGTTGGCTCTAGAGCTTTTCAGTGCTAAAAAAAAAAAATCAAATGATGATTTAACCATCTACATGACTGCACTTACATTGACATGCTTTATTTTGTGCATTACATTTCTGTAATACAATGCTGTAGTTTATAAAATATTAACACATGGGCTAGGAAATATCAAAAAAGGGTTATAATGTGTAATACTGTATTGTCTAATTTGTAATCAGCCATATTATGAGTTTCAAGCAGCTGTTTTTATCCCACTGGATTCCAATAAACAAGTCAGTCATACTGTGCATTCCTGTAAATAAATTCACAGACTTAATTTTATTGACAAAGAGAAAAAGAGACAGAGAGGTTAAGGCTGGGCAAATACCCATAAGAGAGGTAAGGAATGAACCTAAAAATTACAGCTGGTACCTACCTTTTTTCCAGGCCTCTTTTGGCTTTCGTGGCTCCTTAAAAGCAGCAGTTTAGAGAAATGGAATATCTTACAGCCCTAGTGGGTAACTATTCAGGTAATTTGCGATCTATTTGGGAACCATGGGATCAATCTCCCTTTGGTAGAAGTGGTGACATTCGCTGAGTGGGGATCAACTGCAGAAGCACACAACTACTACTCTCCACAAAACATGAACGTGACTCCTTCAGACACAAAGGTGTTTATTTACTAAATCTGGAGAGTCCAAAATCTGGTGCAGCTGTGTATAGAAACTAATCAGGTTCCAGTTTGTTTTTGTCAAAGCTCAATTGAACAAGCTGGAGTTAGAAGATGATTGACTACCATGCACAACTGCACCAGATTTTGTACGTTCCAGTTTTAGTAAATCAACCCCAAAGACTGATTTTGTAGTCAAACAGTCTGATAAATAGGAATTTAGCTCCCACAGAAGGACCCCTCTACAACAGGGTTCAGTCTGATTACAAACTCAACAGCAACTGGCCAACTATCAAAACCAGAAGATTTTAGTTAGGGGTATCAGAGAAAAGGGGGTGAATACAAATGCACATCACACTTTTCACATATTTATTTGTAAAAAATTTTGAAATTTGTCATTTTCCTTCCACTTCAGAATTATGTGCCACTTTGTGTTGGTCTATTACATAAAATCCCAATAAATTACACTTACGTTTTTGTTTGTAACGTGACAAAATGTGGAAAATGTCAAGGGGTATGAATACCTTTTTCAAGGCACTATACATGTAAGCAAAAAAACATGTCTTTATGGATAGGCCCTGATTATTTCATATTTTTTACTCTAAAAGCATGCTGTAAACCATTCTAGTTTGTTGGGTGATAAGTCAAAAATATTTTTCGCACTTGGATATGTGTGGGAAACAATCTCCATATATGTTATATGCATTTCATAACAGCCTTTCAGATGCAGTAAGTCACACCATAAGGTGCTGTCTACCTCTTAGACATACTGTAAATACATCAGAAAGGTCTAAGGAGTGAATTCATTTAACATATTTATCGCACATTTATCTGTGAAAACATCATGTTAACAACATATTCCTTTTTCCACTGTATCTGACAAATTGTCAGGAAACTAGTAAGCACATTTTAATATATAAAATAAATTATAGCAGCTGTGGAATTTGTGTGTGAACAAAGTTGTGTTACAGTATGAATGATAGGTATAACAATGCAAGAAAAACTTTGGTGCAGCTCACATTAAATAATGCTATAGGTGATAAGGAGAGAGTAGACTGATAAATAAAGGTCAGTGTTTAAAAGGAAAAAAAAAATGCCCCCCCCCCCAATCAGCAATTTATTAAGACACATGACTAATAGCAATACAGCTAATCATGATAACCCTTAGATGTACCATTATTGATCTAAATAGAGTCTGAATGTTACAGGTTTATACAGTTTTCAAGTAGCAGAAAACAACTTAATTGGTTATTAAGTAACCCATGCTACATGATTGTAAACTTTTCAAAAGCTTATACAAGCATTCAAAAATACACAATGATGCAGATAATATCCATGAAACCCAATTATATCTACTCTAGGAAGAAAATCTGTTAGCAACAGACTTATACAGAATGTACATGTTCATTTAAACACATATGATAGAAACATGTATTATTATTCTGGAATAAATGATTCCCCCATAAAAAAGAACTCTTGAATTCATAGATGGAATAGACAAATGACATAGATAATGTGATAAACAGACAGATGATACTTTCCTGTCATATGTCACAGGTAAGGATGAGTGAACCAAACAAAATTCAGTTTGCAGGAGGTTCAGTCAACCCTGAGGGAAGTCTGTGAACCCCAAACTTAGTGCCAAACTCTACTGAAGTCTAAAGGAGACACATTTTGTATTTCTTTCTGACCTTTTTTATAAGACTAAATTGAAATTGCATGGTAGCTGGACACTACCATGGGGGACATGTACCAATGTAAATAATTAAAAAAAAATACCATTAAGCTGGGAGAGAGCTTTTCCAGTGGCTTAAACTGCAACACTGAAAATATACAAATCCTTTAAATAACATGTTTGGAGGATACCTTTAACCACTTTAGGACCAGACTGTTTTACCCCCGTCCTGTCCAGGTCATTTTTTAGATTTCAGCTGTTACATTTTGAATGACAGTTACTCAGTCCTGCAACACACTGTACCCCAATAATTTTACACCACATTTAGAGACAGATAGAGCTTTGTTTTGATAATATTTATAATATTTCTTAACCACTGTTTTTCTTTTTACTTTTTGCTATATAAATAATAACAATTTAAAACAAATGTTTTTCTTAGTTATTGCCATAAAAATGTGCAAAAAATTATATTTTTTTCATAAATGTATGCCAAAATGTATTCTGCTACATTTCAATGGTAAAAAGAACCCAAGTCCGTGTATATTATTTAATCTGTGTGAAAGTTATAGAGTCTACAGTCTATGGTATACAGCACTGTGCAAATGTTTAGGCAGGTGTGAAGAAATACTGTTGAAGTAAGAATGCTTTCAAAAACATATATTTTAATTGTTTGAGTAAGTGAACAGAAGCAAAATCTAAATCAGATCAATATTTGATGTGAATACCCTTTGGCTTCAAACCAGCATCAATTTTTTACATTTGCACACTTGCACAAAATCAGGGGTACTGTAGGATCAGAGTCAGGTTTATGAATAAACAATTATACCAAGCAGATTATAATGATCATCAATTTCATATGTTTCATATCACTGAAACATAGTTATTAGCTGATACAGAAACAGCTGTGCAGGAGGCTTACAACTGGGGGAGGAACAGCTAGGTTGTGAAAGAGGTTGTTTCATGTCATACACTGTGGCAAGAATGAGCACAGCAGGAAGACACAAGGTAGTTAAATTGCATCAGAAAGGTCTTTCCCATGCAAATATTTCAAAGCAGCTCTATAAAACAACAAAAAAGAAGAGGCACCAGCCTACAGCACTACCTTCATACACCATTTATTAAGTGATAAAAGCAAATAATATACTCAGATTGAGTTAACAAGTGTAACAGTGAATCTAAAGCCACAAATGCTAGATCTGCAGTACTTGATCAACAGCATGGGAAGACAACATCAAGATTAAATATGACTAAAGCGTTTAGGTGGAAACCCCTCTTCATCAGGGCCAAAGAATGAGATACCTGAAGACTGAATTAAATAGCATACTATTATACAATATAGA